GGCGGGGAAGTGCCCGCCTGGCGGCTGGGGTCCGGAGGCAAGGGGGCTGCCTGAAGCCCATAGCGCTCGGGCAGCTCGGCTCTTAAACAGAGCCGAAGAGTCAGGGGAGGAGCAGAGCCGCCATTTTCCCGGACACGTTCGGCTTTTTGGCAATTCCCCCCGGATGGGGGTTTGAGTGCCGAAAAGCCGGACATGTCCGGGAATAAGAGGACGTATGGTAACCCTAGAGTGGCTGTTTGCTCCAACCCTCCCACTCCTTCACCGTCTGTTCACCTCAGCTTCATGCCACATCTGTCCCTCTTCCAGGGGTGGCGGAAGCTTCCTAACAGTGTGTGTGTGGGGGAGGAACACTGGTGCCTGAACCATGGCCCCACCCCACCTCTTCCCCTAGGACCCCTCCTCCCCGACATTCGCCCCTACAGCCAGTAAAAAGTGGGAGGGCTAAAAGTGAGGGGGCCATGGCCCCCTGGTTCCCCTGTTCCGGCACCCCTGCCCTCTTACCCTCTTCTCTCCTGCCATGTCCCCCTCCCTTCCCATTTAGCTTTGTGGACCTAACATGGCGTTTGCTGGCCTCCTATTTGTCACACTGCTTGTGTGTGTTCTACCCCCTTCCTACACTGTGCGTCTGTCTTGTCTATTTACATCGCTGCTCTTCAGGGTAGGGACTGTGCTGTTCTGTGCCTGGGCAGTGCCAAGCACAATGGGGCCCACTCCCTGGTTGGCCCTGAGGCCCTACTGTAACAAACATTAAACAAGCAGCTGTGAAGCTGATGTCCCATTAGACACTAGTAATAGTGGACAGAGGGGCAGCTTAATGTTTTGATTTTATGTTTTAGCCCTCTCACCCAGCCTGTGCCTGGTGTTTGTCTTAGATGATAAGTAAAGCTACGATTTTGTCAGGGATATTTTTAGTAAAAGTCCCTGACTTTTACTAAAAACATCCCTGACAAAATGGGGAGGGAGGAGGGTCCAGCACCCTGTCCCCTCCCCCCACCTGCAGCAGCTGGGAGCTGCAGGGTCCCCATTGCCCAGTGGGGCTGGAGCTGGGGCTGTCCCCCCGCCACCTCTGCCGGCAGTTGGGTAGCTGTAGGGAGCCCTTCCAGCAGCTGCTGATCAGCTCTGGGGTCCCTCTGCTGCTGTTGGAGGCAGCTGGGGCGGTGGCTGCTCACAGAGGCTGAGCAGTTGCTAGGGGGGGGGGGACCCTGCCAGTGGCAGCAGCTGGCTGGGGGGCTGCAGGGGGCCCTCCTGCCACTGAGCAGCCCCAGGGTCCTGGGTCCTTCTGCTGCTGTTGCCGACGGCTGGGCAGGTCAGGGTTCCTGCTGGCGGCGACAGCCAGTCAGTTGCAGGGGTGCCCGTGCCGATTGAGGAGCTGGGGGGGGCTTCCACTGAGCAGCTCCAGGGTCCCTCTGTTGCCATCGGAAGTGGCTGGGAGCTGCAGGTAGTGGGGGTACCGGCTGCTCGCAGAGGCTGAGCAGCTGCAGTGGGGGGCCCTGCCAGTGGTGGTGGCTGGAGAGCTCAGGGATCCCCACCGGTGCCGATGGCCGGTCAGTTGTGGGAGGTCCCACCACCTGCAGCGGCTGGGCAGCTGCAGGAGGTCCCCATGGCCCGAGGAGGCTGGGCTGCTGCAGGGGTCCCCCGCTGCTGGCTTCAGCAGATGTTACTGAGCATGCTCAGTACACCCTACTTAGCAAATTCAGTCAGATAGCGTTTTTTCACACTACAGGGTGGCTGGTCCGCTGTGGGGGTCCTCAATGTCATGGAGGTCGCTGGAAGTCACAGATTCCGTGAATTCCGCGACCTCCGTGACATAATCGTAGCCTTACTTATAAGCTCTCCAGGACAGGAATTGGGCCCTCCTGTCTACATATGGACAACATCTAGCACACCGTAGACACTATTTGTAATACAAATAACAAATCGACCACTGATTGAAGCTTTAAAGCTTAAAAATAGATACAAGAGTAC